AAATCCGCTGTCGTCTTCTGGCGGAATCGACCTTTGAACCTCTTCACTGAACACTTTCACTTGAAATGGAAGTAAGCTCAACAATTATGAAACAAGAGGTTTCTCGAAACCCATCTTTTCTTCGCAAAACATCGTTATGTCAGAATGACGTCTCGTGTAGGCTTCCGAAATGGGTTCTTTGCTGACGGGATACGCATCAGAGACTCGACCGGCTTAAAGAATGCTTGCGTAATTGGTGCTATTAAGGATATCGGGTTCTAGCTTTGTGAACAACAGAAGGATTTGGCAAAAAATCGGGAGCCTTATGTTGGATAATTTTTGCTGTGGAGACTTTCATTTTGTGGGCAAGTGCATGATGACGAGATTCGTAGGTCGATCTCATCAAAGGACGACTAGTTTTTGTTTTACTGCAGCCATTTGGCTCTAATACAATGTTCAGGTTGACGCAATTCAAGAGATATCCTTTCTTGTTTCTAGGCTGTTTTTTCACAGGTCATATGATGAACAGCATCAGAACTGTAAATAAATCTTGTAAAAGTCTCAAGTTAACGCCAAGTCAAGCCTTGTAAACTTGCAAGAATGGGTCACAGCTCTGAAGATGTCCGTTATATGATAAACGAAAGATCAGTCTATCCTCGCCTAAAACGAGGGGGTATTTCTCGTGAAATGAGTCAACCTGAATCTCTTCTTAATGCTCTTTTATACGAAATGAAAGTTGCCCAATAATATTATCTTGAGAGTTTCTTTGGGGCCCAGTTACACCTTGCCAACAATTCACTTGCACTAAGCAAACTCTCACGCTCTACGACCTGCTTCGGTGCTATCTGGCTGACAGTATTTAGGAAGCTCTGACAGTTGGCGGGTGAGGTGGAAGTCATGTGAAATTTCTGGTGGCACTGCCTGGGGCGCACCCCATGGACCCGTGCGTATGGTGTCCTCATTCGAATGCTGCTCCTCGTGTCGCCTTGGCAGGAGTACTGCTCCAAGGGGGGAGGATCATCTTGCCGAGGGATGGTACAAATGCATCCGGGCCTTAGTCTTTGGGCAAGTTCATGCATTAGTCAGCTTACATAAGAGGTGTATTCAGTCTAGATCTCACAAGGTGATGAAGGATTGATGGTTGAATGTTTTCACATTCGAATGAGTATGCCTAACCCTACCATTAAATTTCACATAGCCTTACTTCTAAAAAGATATTCTCATCCATGCTCGACTCGACCGCAGTTTCGGCCTCGCCTCGGCTCATCAGCACTGCCAGCGATATTTGAATCCGACCAGAGCAGTGCATCATTTCGACATGTTACCGTCAGGCCAGACGGCTACATGTGGTTGTGAGTCTGTGTTTGAGGTAAAATTAAAAGTATCAATTATTCATCGCCTTGCGTCACCTTGAGTGAAATACAACTTTTATTTAAGAGATATTGGTGGTTTCGAAACCTACTCCATACGAATACTTGTCTGCTTATTCGGCGGTCCGAAATGTGCATTTTCGACTAAAAACCCATCATTTCGCAGAAGCAGTGGTGACTCCAAATACTTGCCCTTTTATTTCCTGCAAAGCGGCCGAAATAAGCAATAAAATGGCCGCATTTTAAGGGCTTATAGTTTTGACTCTTTCAATCCAGTATTTTATCGAGAAGGCATCATAAATTGCCATCATCCGATTAGGCGACCTTTAATGCATAAAACGCATTCGGTGTCACCCGCCAGCTCCTGCCCAGCCCCGCTTGAGATGAACTGGGGCCTGGGGCCGAAGCGGGCCGAGCTGAAAGTAGGCATCATATCAAAAGATATGTGCTTACCGCGAAGTCTTCGCCCCGAAGTCTGAAAAGGTCAGACGACGTCCCGTAAAATCGACAAAGTACTTTGTGCGGCCTTGATGGAGCAGATCAGAGACTAGTCCAGCCTCGGTCGGCCAAGGTGATCGTGTTGCCGCAAATACAAATGATCCAATAAAGTGGTTGCAGATGCCGGAAAAACATGCTTACGCTTTCGAGGAGGATAGGCTGCAGAGCAGACGGCAAACGAGATCTCTCCAAAATCGAAATTATGATGGGAGTGTTGATCAAACAAGCTTGGATCTCGATATAACTATTTTTCGAGAATATAAGTGATTATTGAATAAAAAGTTAGTCTTCAAACCGATTCATACGGAAACAAAGAAACTTCGTAGATTGCAACGCCAAATACGTGCTCGTTTTATCGACAATTCCATTATTGAAATCATGTGATTTAGAAGAGGACTGGCTTAGTCTAAAGGAAAAGATGCGCCAAATACAATAGGCCCAAAAGTATGGGTCTATTTATTTGTAAGTTATGGTATCTAGCTCTGGCGATCTTGTCACATACCAGGCAAAAGCTTAACACAGATTCATTCGGGTCGCTGGACAGTGAGCCGATGACTTTTGTCCGTACTCCTCCAAGGCGGTTTTCGGTGAGACCAATTAGACTAAATTCCCTCCAACTAACAGTCATTCTGAAATTCAAAGATGTCTCACAATACGTCACTTACTTGTCTATTGTCACGTATTGTTCGTATGTAAGTAGAGCTTCGAGACTACCAGTAAATCAGTAATATGGGATGTTTTCATCCTATTTCGTTTAAGGGGATGAAGGACTGGTAGAAGAATTTTTCACAATGATATGAGTAGAGCTGACGTTTACATTGACTTTCACATAGCCTTGCTTTCCCAAAAGTTGTTCTCATCGAGGCACCAGTAGACTGCAGTTTCGACCTCGCATTGGTCTGATCGACACCCCCAGCGAGAGTCGAACCGTGACAGTGCAGAATGTGTCAGGGTGAATGCATCTCATATTATTGTTACTTATTCCAACTAATAAAAGTAACTGGGCCTCAAGGCCAGGCTAATATGCACACTTTCTTTCACTCGCATCCAAGTGACTCCAATAAATCTGAATTATATGCGAAAAAAAGTTGGGTTTCGAGGAATTTATTGTTTCATAATTGTTGAGCTTGAACCATTTCGAGTGAAAGTGGTGGGTGGGTTCAGTTATGCCTACTTTTAGAGAGAAAGTTGATCCACTATCCAGATCTGGTTGCTACAACTAAATGTGTTCATGTGGTCGCTTTTATGTTGGAGAGACTTTCGCCACATTCGACAAAGCGTGGCTGAGCACAAAAGCGCCTGCAAATGCTGTTAAGCTCAAAAATCGGAGCTTGTTGAGCACAGTGCAGAAACGGGACGAGATTGAATGGTCTCCAACTTGTCGTTTTGCTGATTATGACATGTTTGCGGCAAAACGTAAAATTAGAGAAGCCATAGAAATAAACCGATTATGAAATACCTTGAATGTAAGGAATACTGGTAAGAAGATAAGTAAAAATTACTTGTTTTTCGTGTTTGAGTAGAGTTTCGAGACTACCAGTAAATCAGCAATATGAATGTATTAAATCTATTTCGTTTAAGGTGATGAAGGACTGGTAGTAGAATTTTCCCGGACATCTTCAGAGCAAGTTATATCGTCAAAACAAAATTCAAGCTAATAAGTCAAGAAAGCTCACCATAAAATCCATAAAAAGTGGTATATATACTCTACATCTGGCCTCTTTGATCAAGTTTAGAGTGATTTGGTTAGTTAAGGTCTAATGTAAACTTCTATGCATGTGAGTGTGTCTGTCTCTGTATTGATATGTGCATGTTTGTGTTCGCTTATGCACGAAACTCGAAGTAATGACTCAAAGTAATTAGGACAGGAAAAAGGAAAGTCTGTTTTTGGCCATCAAGGTT